TGGCGACAACCGCGAAACCGGTCGTAGGCTTCCACGGATATTTTGTTAAGTCATTCACACACCACTTATTACATCATATGCAAAAATACGATTCGGATAAGTTTGTGGGCAAAATGCTATCAAATCATTTAGATAAAACTTAGCGCATACTTACAGAGAGCGGGGATGAAGATTTCAAGTTTCCTAACTACCAGACTGCTCACTTACCTTAGGATCCAGTAGATAGTTGTAAGGCATGAAAATCAAATCAGCGTTGGATTTCAGTTCGCGTGACATGTAATACGGACAGCATCTATCAATAGATATCGGGAGAAACGACAGAATAATGAATAAGTTCGTAAAAAAATTAATACAAGTCCGAATGTGTGGCTTACCGAGTCGATTTACCCAGAGAAACAATATCTTCAATATCCACCACACCGTCTGCCTTTAGGGTGTTTACTATATTGTCTCGTTTCACTGAGAAGAGAAGGGAAAGAAAAATGAATGAGACCCATTTTTATTCGACAAGCACTTGGGCATGTATACGCAACATTTAATTACCAAAGCACTGGTGGTGGTTAAGCAGTCTCAGTCGTTGTCCAACTTGGGTTTTAAGATGGGTGGCGTGGCTGTAGCCCGATCTAACACCGCACTCGCCTCCTTGGTTCAGCTTCATATCCCACGGTTCAAACTTACCGTTTTAATTACTGAACAACAGGTTTCGTGATTACGGTGTAAAAACTACTTTTACTGCACATCATATTTAGTTGTGAAACAATAGGACGAAATGCAATTTTTACCACATCTTGTGTGTGAGGAATAGCAGACGGTATGAAAGCCATAGTTATACTGCTGTACAGTGATGGAAACTGGCAACTTGAACCCGTAGACTTGGAGTGGCGAATCACATAAGGGCCCACTAGGATAGACGTGCTATCGTACCGGACGACAGTCAAGCTGCCTATTGTTGTGAGGTACAACTCACATTTGTGAATAGTATGCAAAATAGTGCGGTTGGCGGTATCCTTTAACGATCAAAAAATGACCAGCTCATTGAGGATGAATTGCTGTGCCTCAAAGAATAATTAAGGACTGCTCCAGTCATTACCCGGGGTGCTACAGGGAATTGCGATGACATGTTTCAAATGAGATATCTGTTACATTTATGCCACTTCTCGCGGCGGAGATGTTAACACTAAAGTGGGAGGGCAAAGGCGAATGCCCAGCGCTTTCCACCGGGTTGACTGACCACTGGTAGTCAGTCTAGGGGAGTTGGCTAAACCCTGATTCCAAACCACCCACACCTGGCGTAAGAAGCTCATAGTGGCACCAATCTTCGGCGCAACCGAACCGGTCTCCAAAGTTAATCTTTGGAGTTGACCACCGTGATGCTCACCGGTAAGTACGAGGCTCAAGGGCAATCTAGGTACCCTGAATAGTTGGCCGCATCCGAAAGGCGTATNCCCCCCCCCCCCCCCTCCCCCCAGTCACCGGATCCCAGAGGATCGTGGACTCCCTACTCCACCCCACTGCCTTGCGGGTCAGGTTCTTCAACCAAAGGCTCCGGGTAGGGTCCCCCTAGAAAACCCTCTACCTCGGCCTGGGCAACCGGGTAGTACCACGCCCACAAACTGACCATGGATTTTGGACACAAAAATACACGCATGTCACGCATGTCTTCAAACCTTTCTCTCAACATCTGCACGCAACACTCTCATCCATCCCCCACACAATACTCCCACTTTTTCTACT